ACTCGTCCATCGCCACAGCTACGCCTGATTCTCGCATTAGTTGTATTGAAAGAATGCTCAGATAAGGCACATGCGGGTTCAAAATGGAAGCCATTGTTGTGTGCGAGATCGCAGCGACGTTGCGAAGCGGAGAGGTCTGCCCATCCTATATGACGCGAAGCGCGGGCGATAATGGCCGGCATTACCAATCAGGCACGCTCGTTAGTATATAGTCTTCCGAAGATCATCGTTAATATGAGTTTTCCACCGCACACTGGTGACGTAATATTGCCGTCCGCCAAAATAGACATATTGTAGAATCATTATAGCACTGTGAAAAGAGGCGAGCGTAAAAACTGGGGGAAAGAAAGAACAGGCATATTTAAATAGAAGTGAGGATCACGCTATCGATAACGGATGACGAAACTATTATACCTTTGCAAGATTTTTTTAATTTAAAATTCCAATATATCGAGACGGAAACATAAAATATTAGAGCTTTAGCAACGCCGAAGATATTGAGTGTATGCCGAGTATAGAGAATATATGTGGAGGGATACATAGCAGCGGAGTTTCTCTTAATACCACTAAGGTCAGTCTTCAGTCATCAGGAGAGAAGAATATCTGTATTTTTTAAAAAACCCAAACTTTTGTGTGAACACGTACCGTTTTCTATTGGTGCGACAAATAACGCTTATATCTACTTATTTAGCTTTATTTATATACTTTCCGTTGTTTACCATTGGATTGTCCAGGGACTGGACGTAATGCTCAAAAAGAACCGATTTGCTTTTCTGCTCATTATAGTTTAATCAGCGCTCAAAAGATGCTACTATCAAACATCAAATCGGTATAATTTTGCTGACTAAAGGACTAAAGCTCTTTTCAGGGTCTTCATACGTATCCCGCCCATGAAGGAGGAGCAAATCGCTTACAAAACCTTTTCTATCATATAGAAACGTTTTCCTAGCTTAATTAACAGCTAATAGTTACTGTATCACATTAAATCATGATATGGATAATCTGATTATCGCCGACGACGTTCGAAACCTTTGTGTAATTTAATGTTGAAATCTATTTCATAAAAGCAGTAGGGCTAAACGTGTGGCCTTATTTTTTAATGTATTTGTTTACTTTAAAAAGAGAATTGTCAATTGCTGCTACCATATCTTTCGCAGATGAAGCCGAAAAATAATGAACCTTAGTGGATGCATGTTATAGCTACCCAACACAGAAGCTAAGTAAATTGGATTTCCCCTCGGGGTAGGCGCTATATATATATATATATATATATATATAATTCCCTTTTGCAATGCAGTTCCCCTTCCACTAATGGCTCTAATTACATTATCATCGTACGAGCTAAGCTCACCTTTTTCACAACACCACTACGAAACACTATTCCGAAGCGTAGCACCCCTCGCTTCTGCAGTCTTCGCGAGCTTGATCTTATCTCGTATCACAACCACAGCGCACAAAGGGAATCTTCCCCAAGATATGACCCTTCCCTCAGCCAAACTTCCTTGGCTAAAATACCTTTCCTTCACGCTTTCTTCGTCAGGCCCATCTTCAAAGGCGAGGCCCTGAAGTTTGTCTTCGTACGTCTCCAATGTCTGTCAGGCCCCCAAGCCACTTGGATGCCCCGTCTCCTGGGCCTCCTGCAACTGCAAGGGGCATCCCGATAGGCTAGTCAGTAGCAGGAGAACGTCGCTAGCTTAAGACAGGAGAAGCTCGTAGTGTGAGCATGATGAAAGGGCCAACAGGGTAGGTTGGCTTGTGGGCCCATCGTGTGCGTTCCAATAGCCAATAATCTGTCTCCAAGAACCTAAGTGCCACGAAGACACTTGTATGGCATCATCCCCTATCCCCAGCTCCTGCACCGTCGCCACTCGTTTAGTCCACAAATCTTCGATTGCACACTTCACACATTCTCACACATACACAATGGCTGCCACACATATAGACACAGTCGCACGAGCGCACCCACAGGAACAGATCCCGACCTCCGACCAACCTCATCGCTCTTCCTCATTCTCGCGGTTTTCTTGGTAGTGAGTCCTGAAACAGCCACGGAACAAAAGCGAACCCGGACTCATGAAGGTGCTGCTAGAGCCGACGCCTTCGAGCCTGCGGCAGCACTCCCTGCTGGCCGTTTGCTTGTTGCTTATTGCTCAGCTAACAAACTCCGTAAACGGCAGTAGGCATCATCCACTTCCATCAACTACTTGCAAGATGTACGACCAGTACTCTGAGACTGCTCTAAGACACTGCTGTTGCATGATAGCAATATCGAACTGACTGTCGAGCAGCGAATGGGTGGACTCAACAAAGCGATTGTGCCTACGGAGGCGACGAAAGCAATAATCGCAGTAGACAATTCTTGTCAGGCTACTGCTACAGGTCCTGATAGGTCTACAGGAGGCGCCAGCGATTTGAGAACGATGGAGTGAGCGTCAGTTAGTAAGCCACAAACAGGGGGCTACTGACAGAAGGTTGACGGTGTCCGGGAGACCACCATCAGCAGCACTAACTGAGAATTGGCCCGAGGCTGTTTGTGGCCAACCACAAGCGAATGACAACTGCAAGCCTAGGAACGGGAGGGGGCTGAGGGGAACTAGGGTAGAAATACGGAAGAAACTTGTCCGAACTGTGGTTAGTTTGGTTCGGTTTGCCCCGCCTCGCTTCTCTACGAGACATTGCAAATGCTCCTTCACAGCAAACGCTTATAGACTTACTATGGGGTACTGAAGTAGTGCTTCCCTTGGGACGAGACACTCTACTGTCTTGTTGCAGCCTGCTAAAAGAGTAGGGGGACATGTGAATAAGAGGCAGTGGCCTTAGTCGGACAAAAGCTACCATCGATGGTCATTCATGGATTAACGTGCTCTTACTTTTTGCTATAGATTGCAGTATTTTTTAGCTAACGGATCCGCGCCCTACAGATCCTATGTTTAATACAATTTGTGGAGATACATCAATGCTGATGTTTCAGTTTGACAGACGGGTAGCACTGATTAGGCCTACCTCTATATGCGTTAGCTACGTTAACTATAAGCGGAGAATACTATGCAATGTTATGATGGGACTTGTACCGCTACGGTTGACATAGTCAACTTATAGGCAGCCCGAGTCTTTAAAATACTAGTAATAACATTGTGGTTTTTCATTGTCTAGTTATCAACTTAATTCGTTCAACAATAGGTCTATATAACGTTATATTTGACGATGTATCAATAGACTGGAATATTGATGCCATACTTAAATTTGGCCTTTTCTCGCATTTTCTTCGTAAAAGTTAACCTGAGTGTTCCTGAATTTGTGTTACTGCCTGCATCTAATCTTTGGGTTTGGGCACACATCGTAGTCTAGGTTCAAATTCGAGCGTAGACCCACGGTTTGTTTCACGCTGACAGGAGCCAGCCGTCTGATGGAATGGCTAATGGCGATGCCGAACGTAAAAGTCGAGGGGTATACATAGGATTTGTGTTACCACACCACTATTATTAACGATATAAAGACACAGGCATAAATTAGATGAACTTCGTGTGTCCCTTCGGCTTTCTTATCTAGTTAGCCAATGCTCCCACGGATTATTATGGGATGCGCACGGTACCTGGTACGACATACCAGACAGGAGACATAAATTCGAGCTATTTTATCAAAAACACAACTTCGATTTTGGTATATTTATGGATAGTATTATCAGATTTGGCAGAAGCTAAATTGTTTACAACCAGTTAATGTTGTTTCGTCCTCTAAAAACAGATTAGCCCTGCCGTGAGGTAAGGTATTGCAGGAGCAGTGAAGTTGCATGAGCACTTATCGCAAAAGTGATGTTTGAGCATACACAGCTGCATTAAACTCTTCAAAAGGATACTTCGTTACATTATGGATACTAGTAAGTGAGCGAAGGGCTTAATTTCCAAAACGCGGACTATCGGACTAATCAGCAAAAGATATTTCTACTAAATAGTGCAGTGTCCTGATCTGCATGATATTGTTTCATTCTAAAATGCATTACGGATCCTTTTATCCGAGCTAAGTTTGTAGTTTCCAGTTGCTGCGTTTGTAACTAAAAGAGACTCTTGTTACCCAGCCAAAAAGACCAAGGCAGCTGCCCACGTAGGCTTGAATTTATTGCTATATATATGCGTGCAGTCTTTGCTGTCGGTGCTTCTATTATTTTTGCTCTACAGATCAGTCTTTGCCTCGCTTGATGATTGTGAGTCAGATCAGACAGCAAGAAAATAGGACGGGTAAGTGACTGTGAGACGAGGAGCACGACTCCTTTAAATCATATTTTCAATCTACCACCCTCTTCGTTGCATATAACAGGCGACAGTGACTGGTACATACAAATCGACAGCTAAAGTGGATCTCCGAGGTGTCACTATTGGCGCTGCTACCGTTTGTGTCGAGTGCTTCACAAACTATTCTTTCCTCGCTAGAGAGAACTAGATCCATCCGATGCCGGCTAGTTCGTTGGGTCGCTTGTTTCTTCAAACATTTAGCCTTCAAAGTTAGTGTAGTCGCACCCTTCCCTTAGTCCTGGCTTCCCTAAAGCGTTTAAAGAGCACATGATATCGTTTGTGCCGGTAAAGACCGGTCGCTTTCGTGTTCGCCGTCCACTAATTCGTTCGTCGGCGGAGCATAAACAGAGATCTTACTTAAACTTCATTCGACTGCTATCGTTCCGAAGATCTGCCTATCTGTCCTGCTCGCATAAATATACATATATTTGTTCATGTTTCACGTGCGTGCATGTGTGAGGCCATGCGTCTGTTTCAGTGGGGTTTTTGTCTCGCGCGACTCAGAGAAGCTATAATATTAAGGCCCAACCAAAAGAAAACGTTGTCCTTCATTTGCTGCTGTTTGCTCTCGCCACCACTAACGATTGCAAACCCAAAATTCCCAACAGCTCTGAACTCTCTAAGCTCATTTTGTTCGTGTACTCACAGCACCCTAACGCCGCAGTACAACAACATAGTACCCTCAATAATGGCTCCTAGTGGGACATTAGGTATCCAAAAGGCTGCCAGCCCTCACGAAGGGAAACGCTGCAGCTTTGTATTCAGCCTACCTTCGCTCTACCATAATGTACATCCTTGTAGCGCCATCGTTATCCCTGTCATCGTCAAATGAAACATCACAATATTCCTACATTAATAATAGCACAAAAATCGGCCCGTTGTCTACTACTGCTGTTGATGGCGCTGTCGATGATGATGACGACAATGCTCCTGAGCTGCAGGCACTTCTCTCTTGCCTGCTTCTTGTTCCTAGCCTGTGTCCTGTGTCAGCGTCTCGCTCTCCCTTTTTGTTTCCTGATACCACGACGCTAGCCCTGTCAGGGAGTCTGTCCCGCTGCTGCTACCGCTGGCCTAACTTAGGCCAGCCCTGGAGCGAGGCCGGGAAGCAATATTCGCAGTACATAGCTCGACTCGTTTCTTCAGTCGTCAGGCGATCAGGCGGTAGCGCCAGAAGCAGGCGACTCTTTGGTTTGCAGGCAGGTCTCCGGCATCGTTGCACACTCTTCATCTTACCAGTTATCCTCTACAGAGCACTCCTTCCTGCAGTCTCCGTACATATCTAAGCCAACGTAGGGTACCACCCCCATCGCACCCCTGAACGCGACGGGGGTCTAGAGAGGAAAGCAGCGCTTGAGAGATTCACCGACAGGCCGTTGAGTTAGCGTACAGCTGAGCTAGTGGCCAGCCAGCCGGGTTTCTTCTCCATTCTACCATGCTGTACCGCTGCTGCGGTGGACAAATATTTTCAGCCAACAACAAAGTATCTCGTGGGAGGAGCCTGGGCGGCAGAGGCTCCGCCCCGCACGGTAGCCGAGGGAGGTGCTAGAGCGCATACACTCGACCGTGCTGAGAAGAACGCGATTCAATCGGAGACCGATCTCGGCACGAATCGGATGCATTGGTTACTCGGCGATAGCTACGAGACGAGTTGGCCAAGACGACGACGACGATCGTTACTACCATTGGTGTTAACGAAGAGTGTGTGATGGTGGCTCCAAGAACGGGAACAACCCAAGCACGAACAAAACGAACGTGTGAACTCTAAGTATAAAGTTAACACAAAAATTAAAAATAAGTCGCTACAACAAGGACGACGGACAGACAAACGCAGTGGTGCTCCAAATCGGTTATCAGTGTTACTTTCTTCAAGAAGGTTACCTTGAATTAGATTATCTGAGTCAGCGGGAGTGAACGGGACAAGCTTGAACGTACGTAACAGCTATTGGCTTTATAACACAATATTTTGTCAACGTGAAGTCTACAGCAAACAGGTGTCGATACAGGGACAGTAGCAGCTGTAATTATCATGGACACAAAGCCCGAAATGCCAACGCTCCCGCTTAACGCTAATCAGTTGCTAACTTTTGCCCAAAAACTTAACCAAGGACAGTTCGGTGCTGGAATCGATATGGAAAGTCATAAATATGATGACGATTCGTCCGATGACGAACTGCCCATTCAGGTAACAGACGAAGAGGAGGAACTCGCTATGTCTAAGGATGGCCATATTGCTGACGGCCAAAAAGGTAACAAATCGCATCTCGTCAAGCCCCCCTATTCATACATTGCTCTGATCACAATGGCAATCCTGCAGTCGCCCGGACGCAAGCTGACACTTAGCGGCATCTGCGATTTTATCAAGAACCGCTTTCCGTACTACAGGGAAAAATACCCGATGTGGCAAAACTCGATTCGACATAACCTGTCACTCAACGACTGCTTCATGAAGATTCCCCGTGAGCCGGGAAATCCTGGCAAAGGCAACTACTGGACACTAGATCCAGCCAGTGAGGATATGTTTGATAATGGCAGCTTCCTGCGGAGACGTAAACGCTACAAACGCCAGCAGCCGGATCAGCAGGCATTGCTTGTGCGGGAACAGATGTTTCTTGACGCCCTTCGACAGCATCATCCGTTCGGGCCACCAGCACCGAACGGCTTGCCAGCCCAGCTGCAGATGCAGCTTCAGCAACAGATCTCCTCAGCGTACCCGTTACTGCCTCCATTATTTCCGCAGGTGCCTCTCCTGCCTCCACTGCCGATCAACGTGAAGATGTCGCCGCCCTCGGCCCCGGTCTCCCCTTCAGCAACGCCTTCGTCGCCACCATTGAAACCTTCAGCCAACTTCTCAATTGACGCACTTATCGGTGGTGACTCGCGTTCCAGTCGGTCACCTACATCGTTACCTTCGCAACTTCCCGCCCTATCCTCGTTAGCACTTCCCTTACCGCTAAGCTGGATCCGATGAATGCCTCGCACCAAACAGATCAATGGCGACTAGGTGACTGCGTGAAGTTCTCGTCTCTGAAAAAATGGGGTGTAGTACGATATCATTTTCTACTTTTGGACTAAGTCATGTGCTACTGACCCTTGGCCGAACGAGTATCTGTGCGCCATTGTCATCGAACGTTGTAAAATTAGGGACAGTGGTAAGGTACAAGAAAAGCCACATCCTTGTCCTTCCTGGGGCACTGCTGTACGGCTCCGCAAATTGACGCGGAGAATGCGACGCCGCGAAACAGAATGTAAATAGAGGATTGAACAATGATGAAATTTAGTTCGTTAAGGCTCTTCGAATTGATGTAGCTACCGACCCCGATGTCCATACCTAACCAATAACGCACCATTTTTATTATTGTGCCAAAGATCAGACCTGAAAAATCTGATTCCGAGCGACCATTCTGAGCGGCTGCGGTCGTCCACATCGCTCTCGTAGCACTTCATGACTTCAGTATCTGTATACGGCGACGTCAGTAAACGATTCGTTTTATTGGGAAGCTAATGATAATGATGCGCAGAGCCAGTCTGGGTACAGAAAGCCCGCAGTGAATATGTATTCTGATAGTAGTATATGTATTTTCACTGTGTTCCTTGTGATAGCTGTTGGGATTGATCTCTTAGTATTATAATTATTATTGAGAAACATTAGTCCTAGTGCTATTTCAATTTCACAAAGAAAAAAAATGTCACACAAAATAATTTGTACATATATATAGATAGTAGATAAGTATGAAATGGACCGCGTATACATGAGTAATATGTGGACAGCGAAACAGATGCTGAACTACACAATAGGACGCTAGCGGCTAACTGTTGTATAGAAACAAACATGTATATAAATTTAATCGCTTCTATATAGAAGTATATATAAATACATAAATTGATAATTATAATGATAAATATGGTAATGATGGCCAGTACCGGTTGTCATTTGGGATGTCCAACTAAATATATAGCAGCGAGGTAAAGAAAATATATAAAGACAGATAGACTTATACGACAAGACGATATCCCAATGTGTGTAAAATAACTTATGTACTATAGCAACAAAATACGATCAACGGAAGAAGGTGGCGGAGAACGGAAGATACGAAACTGAGAAGTTGACTAAACTCAAACAAAGTTAGTAACGAAGAGAGTAAGTTAATGATAATAGAACGGATAAAACCAAAATCGACCAATTCGAACAATTCATTACCAATGATGACTAGAATATAACTAAAAACAGTGGTAATAAATCGCATAGCAATATCGGATGCAATATCTGAAGTAGATCGTTTCCTCAATTTATATGCGTAATATATTTATATACACTAACTTTTTCAACTTATTGAAACGGTGTCATTTGGTAGTTCCTCGTCGCACGCAAAACCGTACGAGAGCTCTGTTATTTAGGAACGTTTATTTAGTGTTGAGACAAAAAAAAAAAAGGAAAGCTCAGTTGAGCTTACGGCAAAGACCATGGATCATTCCTTCATGGCCCCAATTATGATTCTGTGGATAAACTGTTTCGTACTTCATGCCCGATGCGACGTTTAAAGCTACTTCCACCATGTTGGTAAACGATTGTACAGTTTATACCAAATAGCCAGATCTCGATCGTCTCAAGCGATATATATACGTAACCTTTAGCCATCTACTGACAATGATATACCAATCGATGTTTTTCTAACTTCAAGCATATAGTATGACAGATTTTCACTGGTGGCAATTGGATGGGTTTTTCAATGTCTAGTTCAATCTTAGCATCAAGTTATTTCATAGAACCGGTTCACAATATAGTTCATATATGTATCCGCATAGATATGATAATAATTAAACGTCGGCCCTACCGCCCATCAGCGTATGTCTGTATACTCAGCTAGTGCTATTTTGAAGGCTGATGAAGTTACTGTCGCTGGTATCAGCATGGTATGAAATGCTACAAGGTAGGAACCGTAGTGAAAGGGTCTTACGGAAAACCAGATTAATTTGCAGAACTGCGGATAGACAAATGCCTAATGGCAGTCCATCGCATCGTCCGTCAGCCGTTGTTTGGCTTAGGTATAAATCCTCGCAGGTTTAAGTAACGAAGGTTGTATTTTAACCGCATTGAAGGTGGGGTTTGCAGCTTTATTGCATGGCGTGACTAGTAAATGTCATCTAATATGTAAGGTTTGTTTCCGCCAATATATCACATAGTAAAAAAACGTCCATAAACTAACTCGGCTCTTAGCTTTTTGAAACTACCCTAAAGTAGCCAACTTAAACGTTCAAGTTTTACGTCCGGCACCGCCGTTAAAAAGGCTATTCCATAAGATGACAGCATGAGACGAAGTGCGTCTATGTCCGGATTTGAATCCAGATTAACGCGTGCCCCTAGCACGCAAATACGGCACTTGATACGTCAACACTTGAAATTATCTAACGTTGTTTGATCTGCGCATTCAGCTGATTCTAAAAGAGATGTATAACGTGCTTGTTAATCAGATAGCAGGTTTGTAATTCTTTACATGTATTCATATATATATATATATATATATATATATATATGAGTACTTGCAGTACAACTTGAAAACATGCATGGACGTGTTTGGTTGAAAAAGGTTGCTCATAAACATGGCTTAAGAACAAAAGAGCATTTGTCAAATGCCTGCACACAGCGGTAAAGTTGGCGTAGCATAAACATACATATATATACTGATTCGTATCCCTGTAAACACACACACAAAGATAGTCCACGAGTAACAATGAGTCCGACACGTAACGTGTTACCTTTAATGGGTCTAAAAAGTACGGATCGAACTGAAGTCCCTTGATTTCTTCTCCTAGCAGAATATTTAGCGTCCCCAGAAATGCTATGGATGAATAATGAAATGGATATCATATGGATCGAGTGTCAATGGGGGGAAACAATCGGACGATAAGAATGTCCCGGAAGAGGCAAGGCCATCTCGCAAAGCTTACTCTGCAGCAAGTTATGTTACTTCACACGTTTTGAGCGCATATGGTCCATGGTAGGTTTTGACTGGGACAATCCGTCGCGGGTCATATGGTAAGACCGGGAACTGGGCGCTAGATAAAACTTTTAATTTTAAAAGAGCGTGCAGTTCGCGAATAGCTCCGGCCGAGGACTTTGAGCTGGGGACCTCCGAGACCCACGAGAAGTAAGTGGACAAAGAGCAAATAAAAGCCGTGCTCGGAGCGATTTACGCTGTCCTATGTTCGGTGCAAGACTTAAGCATTACCGGTATTAAGGCCGCCAGCAGCAGCTGCAGGAGCAAGTGGCACTAGACGCTGGTGGCGAAGTATATCGGCAGGATAAAGGGGCTTTGCCCCAACAAGCTCTGGAATGATACTTTTTTTCGAAAGAGAACAAAACGGTCCGGAGACCGAGATGGAGGGGAAACACAGGGCCACCGCTAAATTTTCACAGATTGATTAAAATCAATTAGTCGTTGCTAAACGAACGTTGGTGGTACACATACATATATTCTGCCTTGGCGCTGATAATAACACCGTCCACAGACATTCCACAGGCTACAATTAATTGTATTTTATTACGCTGCATCGAGCTTTACGACACAACTAGGTAGGTAAAAATGGTCCCCATATAAAAATCGCTATATGGTTATCATCTAATATGTGACCAGTGTCAATGATACGAAGCTTGGAGAGAATGATATCAAAAAGTAACGAATACTAGTTGGAAGGACAAGTTATAGTGCATGTATAAAGCGACCTTAGCACATGTAAAAATTGCCGGTAGCTGCAGAACGCGCGAACGTTCGGCTTCCAAATGGTAAAATGGCAGTCTGAATGGAATTGCAAAATATGACGGTGATCGGCCACGATAATACTTGTGCTGCAAACATTACGGCCAACAAGACTTCGATTTGGTACACTTCGATGACCGTACCATTTGACGTAATCATTTGACGTCCAAAGTGTACGTTTAATAATGACGTTTGCTTTTTTTGCTAATTGTCCGCACTCATGCCAGTTCTTAAAAATTTTGCGATGCTGTTCCGTAAACCTATCAACTTCTAACTTGTACTTTAACGTCTACTTGCACCGGGTCTCTTTACCAGTTCCTGTCATTATTTTTATCGTCGTGCATCATCCAAGCATTTTCACCGTGAAGCTGCAACGCTACAAACGTGCACATATACAGATTTATCTTTTGGCTCTTTAATAGCGTCCTGTAAAATGAGACAAAGGCTTATTTTTTAAAAAAACTATTTTCGAAAAATAAAAAATGCACATTCCTCAATTATTTGTATTCTATTTTGTGGCTTGTGTTTTTTGTTTCTGAAAGGTCAACTATCGTAGGGCGGCTTTTGCCGGCATGGCCAACTGATGCACAGTAAATTCACTTGAGTCGAGATGGTTCCCGTATGATTTACATCGTTGCACGATGTTATGTATTGTTATTGTACACTTAAGCAGCAATTATAGATTCACCTTTTCTTCTGTGGCCGTTTCCAGAGTTTAGTTACGCCCGTCGCCCACCCCTCGCGGGTAGCTGCGGCGGCTCAAAATCACGTATCGCTCCGCCAATTGTTTACGCTCGGTATGGGACGGTTTCTGCTCGTTGTCTCGCCTTATTATATTGTTCGTGTATGTCCTAGATTTTACAACCGGGACGGGGTCCCCACAACTTGGCCGCTAGTTTAGCAGCGGGCTTCACTATTTCCACGGTAGTCGTACACCCTCATCCAATACAATTCGTAGTTAGGATTAGTACTGGAAAGAGATGATTCTCTCTATATCTATATAGGTGGTGGTTCCATAGCTGCGGTTATGCGAAGCGGCTGTGGACAGCGAACGGTGGGTAACTAGCTGGCTCACCAGTCATCGCGAATATATATTTATTTAAATGGAAACGAGGGTGAGTTTATTTGTGGCCAATGCACCGCTAAAATACTGACACCGCTAGTCCAATTGCCAATAGATTATCAACAGGGTCGTCGAATGGCTGGCCGTAAATCGCCGACGGAGTCAGTCATAGGTCATATTCGGCCTCTGCTATATACGAATGCGATATCGACAATAGCCAGCGATAGTCCTCTGTGTCTCCGTCTTTTACTAAGCGCATTAATCTCCTCCCCGACGCCGACGACTTGTTGATGCTATTAAATAAAACATCACAAACAGCCGATGACGCCCTCGTCATACTACTATAGGCAATAATATTACCGAGACGAAAATGCTTTTTTCCTTTGTGAATCCCTATCACACATCTTCGGTATAGAGTAACGTTACCATGTAACAAGGTAGAGCTTGAACGGTTAGCTTTTGTTGGCTGAATGCCGATTCGTAAGGTCATAGCTTGTTTGCTTATCTGCTATCCACTGCAGCGTGTTGAGATGTCTGCTTTGAAGTAACCTTTATTTAGCAGACGAAAGCGGAGGACCGAAAGACGAGTATCGCTCTTCGATCAGGAACGGAAAAAATTCTCACAAGTAGTGCAAGGCTGCAGAAAACTTCTGGGCGGCCAAGCTATGAGCCAATGCCAGGCGTGTGAACGATACCAGCGGTTCACTGACGGATAGGAGAGTTCCGTTCTGGGCTATCTACCACAGCAACTACGGACGAAAACATGGAAAAAGCAAGACAAGTGACGTTGTAGGATCGCCGAACCACTCTTAGAAAGGCTGTGGAAGAGCTAAACACCTCGCACGCCCTATGGCAGACCATTAGGATTGTGTCGAAAAACCTTCATTTCAAATGTAGTTCAATTAGCGACTATCTCATTTTAATGAGTAGTACCATGTAACGCGCTCAAAGAAAAGCTGAAGCTGTCCATCAGAACGTGGGTATAAGGGGGACGCGGACACAAAAGCATCGCCACCTAAGTGACACCTCAGTATGGCTCAGTAATATAATGTAATTCTTCATATTGATTTAATTTCTCAACGTTGGATATATAATCTTGCCACTGGCGTGTACCGATTAAGTTATCGCGAGCAACCCCACATCGTTCTATAATTCTGGATTATTTGCATCAGTGCACAGGTATAACTTGGATCGACGGTTATCGTAAGACGCTCACAAATAGCCTGTAGATAACATACGTCTAAGAGGAACAGGATTATATATGTAGGGTTACCGAAAAACTATTGGTTGTTTGTCTAGCTAGATGGCGGCCAGTTTAACGACCCACTTCTCAGGTAATACGAGTCAAATCGGCGTTGGTGTACATTTTCATTTGGAAGTTGAAATTGTCCTCACTCAAATTTAAGATAGAGCGTCTTGAAAAT